CCACTCCTCCTCATCCGCGGCACACACACACACACACACACACCTCCTCCCTTGACGAGTGTACATTTCTGTCAATCCACGGTCACTTCGACGCGTGAATACATACATTACTATTAATATTGAACGTATTATTACTATTGCTATCACTATTACTATTGTTATTATCTTGTGTGTGTTTGTGTGTGTGTGGACTTTCAGTTTTGTGTGTGTATGTATGTGCTATTTTGAGTTCTTTTGAATGATTGTCTGTACCACACATAACGCGGTTGAATGATTTCATTCGAATGTATAGCTAATGTTTGCTGCGTAGTAAGGGGTTTTTATTTTAATGCCCGTCTATGACTAACCTCAAACGCGACACCTTGATTGATATTTTAATTTATTGTTCCTCCATTTACAGTACGCAGCGAGTTGGTTCCATTCGAAAGTGGCCAAGGTCCGCTGGCTAAACTGGGGCGATCCCGTCCCGGCAAGCCCACCATCCTCGTGGGGTTTCAAGCACTGGAACTTTGTTACTTTCTCTTTCTTACTTTTACTCTTTTTTTGGGGTGGGATTTTAAAAAATGGTACTTTTTTGATTTTCTTTTTGATTAGTTTACCCTCTATACTCTTTTTCATTTGATTTTTTTGAGGGAAGTCGCCCTTCCACGGCCACACTCTCCGGCTCACAAGCGTGTGCCCTGATTTCGCACCCCGTTTCACAGGGGCAAAGCCTACGAGCTTACGACAGACCTGCTGGGCAACCACACTTCGTGGAAGCAGATGGCCCAAGTGACATTCCATATCTATATCCATATCTCTATCTCCATCTATATATCTATATCTATATCTATATTTATATCTATTACCAGGGTACCGGTCTGCGTTATGACTCGTACATAACGCTGTGTTATGTTCTGTTATGGTGCTCCTTCTACCGCTTGGGGCGCAGTCTCTGCGTCCAGGCGGCCCCGGGTGTCAGCGTCTGAACGTCACTCTATTGAGCTTTTGCGTCACCATGCGGTGATATCAAAGCGCCCACAAAAGGGTGTCGTGAAGCAAACTCTCACTACTCGTGTGCTCTGCAAATGTCCCTCGATCTGTGTGTAATTACTCAACGCCCGGGTACGGCGAAGACCAGTTATGGGACGGACGTACTTCGCTAGATATTTACACACTAAAGGGGAGTCGTGGGCAATAAGAACGGGAAATTTTGAGCCAAGGCGCAGTTTCTTAGCAAATTTACATACAAGCAATGATTATTAAAATAAATGCTTAAATCGCGATTTAAAGGCACATCAGTAAATGGCTTTCTTTATTTTACGGCTAGATATTGTTATGTTATGATGCCTCTTATTCTAACGCCTGATGCGCACTTTGTGCTTTCAGGAGGCCTCGGCTGTCAATGTCTGAACGTCGCTCTGTTGAGCTTCAGCAAGACAGCAACACCTTGCGGCGATACTGATTCGGGCCGACAGAGCTCAGGTCAGGCGATTGGCGGTCGAGTTTGCTTGATGAAGAACGGTTTCTCTCCCCTGGTTTCTTTACTGCGGTGTCTCGACGGATAGCTACACCGCGACGCAGCCCTCAGTGCGCCTTATGTGCCGGGTAACCATCATACTTGGCGAATTTTGCAAAGCGAAGCTAAGCCTCAACCTCAAATCTTATGCCCGCGCGCCTCTGCACCGGCCTCGCCGCCCCGCAGACTTAGTTCAGGCACACGGCGTCCTGGCGCAAACTGACGGGACTACCGGACGTGAAACCCATCTCCAAGAAAACTCTAACGGCTGCTCGAAGCTCAGTCGGCGCTTTGGTACCACCGCAAGGCGCCAAAGTTCGACAAAGCGACGCCTCGCTGACACTGGGGCAGGGCACGTAAAGGTCCTGGCCCAGTGTATCTCACGCATATCATGTATAATGGGGAAAAGACAGAACAAAACAAACTTTTGAGTATATGTTAATATGAAAGTAAACTGTTTGTATGAAAACATGGACTTTCCTGACCAGTTTCTTGCATTTAAAAAGGCTGAATTGCGGTACTGCACCAGATATCAAGATGGCGTACCCAAGTGGTTAAGGGGCTCGACTGCTAATCGAGTGCGACATTCGTGCGCAGGTTCGAATCCTGCCGTCATCGATCCTTTTGCCTTTTTACACTGTTTGCCGTTTGCTTTTGCCCTTTTGCTCTTTTGACGTGTCGGGCTGCCTTTCACCGTTTCTCACACATCTGTCGCCCTGCCTCGTAAGCCACCGCTCACTCACCAGACGGTAAGGGATGGACCCAGCGCCACCCACGTGACGTGGTGACAGTGCGGGCATGGTATCTTGCTTCAGTGAAAGCCGCACACGTGTGCCAGCTACTCGCGGAACAATACGACCGTTGACGGTACATCGCGCACCAGGCTTTAATGGAACGTTCCGGGGAAGAGCAGCGCGTGCCTTGTTCTATGCGGCGCAATTTTCTGGAAAATGGAGAACTCGAGCACCTGTAATCCATCGCCGTCGCAAACGGACAAGCTAACTGGGGAACTATGCGGTCCAAGAAAACACGCACCCGCGTCCCATGCAATGAAATAAGGTATGTCTACATTTTTTTTTTTTTTTCCGCTTATGATGGCGTACCCAAGTGGTTAAGGGGCTCGACTGCTAATCGAGTGCGACATTCGTGCGCAGGTTCGAATCCTGCCGTTATCGTCCGTTTTGCCCGTTGATGGACATCATCTTTTGACACCTTCTTTCCCTTCACGAGGGGCAGAGTTTGAGGCGAACGGCCATTGGCCATTGTTTGAGGACAACTTTAAAAACATGTCTTTGACCATACCCCCCAAGAAGAGCGTGCGTATCGAACGACCCCAGTCTAGCGATGCGCGCTTGCTTCTCGTTTTTGACCAGCAAGTACCGCTCTCCCGACCTGACAGACTTTCGAGCTCAGCGACGCCCGATCCACCGGATTAAAAAAACAGCCCAAATTCTGCTCGCAACCCCGACCCCACCGCGCCCAACGGGAGTTTGCCCCAACGTGAGTGGCCCAACGTGTTGATCTTAGAGGGACGATACCGGTCTACTCCTACGTGCCCCCTGCCCCTGCCCCCAGCGCGGGCGCCGGGGTGACGCTCGCCTCGGCCTCCTTCAGGCCCCGCGGGGCCCCAATGGTGGACGCGCCGCCCGAGGTGTCAAAGTCCACGACGGACAAGGGGCTCTTAGCCGCGGTGTGGGACAGCCCGGCGAAGTCGCCATCCGCGTTGGCGTCCAGGGCCGCCAACGCCTTTGCGATGCTCCGCATCGGCGCCAACACGCCGCACTACACGCCGCGTGTCGAGCGGCATCCGGGTTCGCACACCGCAGCAGTAGTAACGGCTTCCGACGCGCGCCTCGCCAGCATATTCGCGTTCGCTCTCGACGCGGACGGCGAGCAGCTCGCGGTCGCGGGCCCCGGCACGCTCGTGCTGCTGCGGATCGGTGCGTTTGGACATGCTGGCATTTCCGCTGCCACCGACGCCTCTGGCTCCAGTTCGGTTGTGTGGTCGCTGCCCGCACCGCTGCTCGGGACAGCGCGCCTTGCATTCGCCGAGTGCGGACGGACGGTAGCGGTGATGGAAGGCGATGGTGCGAACAGCGTGCTTGTTGTGCGCACCCGCTCGCCGGACAAGGTACATATATGACATATCACCACTTTTCTGGTCTTTTACGTGCATTTCGTCACAGTCATGGAGCACATCCTCTGCGTGACATTCTCTTTCTTACTGCCCTTCTACGGGTAGGAGGGCATGTATTCATTCCCCTTCCACCCATCCGTTTGCACTAAGAGTGATGGATTGCCCAGTCCTACCACTGGGCACAGATCTTTTTAATAATAGATCTGGACTTTTAAAAATTCTTATTTGTTGTCGACAGACAGGGCTACCAGTCGAGCACACACACAGTGTAGCCATCTTCGTCAAGGCTGATTGCTGCTCAGGGGGGCTGAGCGCCTCCTCCCACTGCAGATATCATGAAAGCCACCTCCCACAACGCCTAGGGCGTTTGCGGGTGTGTTGAAGGGTAATACTAACTAACTAACTAACGAACCAACCGATCTGGATGCCGCTACCTATAGACTGAGGAAGTACTGTAAACTGTAAACTATTTTTTAACCAATTACAGATCTGGATGCGCTACCTAGGCTTGCGCTGGAAGGTCTACACATGAACCCATGTCACACGTGCCCCCCCCCCAGGCCTTCACGCTAACGTCTGAGAAACCCGCGGAGGGCCTCGCTGTGTCCGCCGATGGTCTGCTCGTCGCAATTACTGGCAGATCGCGCGCCGTTGAGGTACTTTTTGAATAATAGTTTTTTTCACGTCCCTCGACTTGGTACTGGCTTAAGTTTTGTCATTTAATATGAGTATGCATTTGTTGCTTTTTTTTTTTTTTTTTTTTTTTTTTTTTTTTTTTG